TTAAAAACCCTCCCCCCCCCCCCCCATCTTAAATGTAAAAATGTACAAGGTTTCCCTCAATGTATTATAAACCTGGCGGACCACCAGGCTTTACTTGTGCCCCCACCAGGCTAAGCACTGCTAATTTATTAAAGTCTTTTTAAAATGTTTGCATTTTTTAAAACTTTATAGTTGGTGTTCAGGTATTAATCTCCAAATATTTCAATAACACATAATTATCAAGTGATATTTTCAAATTTCCTGTGAACTTTAAACATTTTTAGCTCAAAAACATGACGAGCTGCTAGCGCCCAACCACCAGGCTTAGAAAGTTTCTGGAGGAAACTTTGATTCTATATTTTTTTTTGTACAGTCTTGGCTTAATTACTGGTCTGTTGTGTTCATCTTTTAGAAAATTACCTTTTCCAGAGTCTCTCCAGTTAACGATTAACCAACCACTAAATTAGTTGACGATTATTTAAATAACTGATTCATCATGATTAATCGATTGGTGGGTTTCCACCGTAAACCCACCGGACTCGCATGGAGAACGTGTTGATGTCTTTGTCGAGCTGGTCCAGCAGAGCGATGGACTGGATGATCATGTTGTCGGCCCGGTTGACGTTAAACTTGACCTTGGCTCTGGAGTAGCTGTGACCCAGACCCAGCTGGGCCTTGGAGGCGGCCTGCGCCGTCAGACCCTTCACCAGGGAGTGAAAGTGCAGGCGCACACCTGTCGGGATGAAAGAGACGGGTTGAGACGTTTCACTGGCAGGTAAGACAAAGTGAAATCGTCTTGTGGCTGTTCAGATTTTCAGTATAGACCTTCATGAGTTTCAGGATAAGGATGCATCACAACAGACCACATAAAAATAATTATCTACTTTTGCCTTCGTTCCAAACTTGCTATTTTTTGGTTGTGATCTCACCTCTGGTTATCTCAGCCACTGCTCCTCCGGTCTGTATGGAAATACTGAATTCCTCCTGAAGAGCAGCTCCGATTTTGGCATCGGAAACCCCCAAAACCGCCTTCTTCTTTCCAGACAGAGAAAGGTTCGTCTCCAAGAACAGCTTGAGGTCTGCATGAACCACACCTGCACACAAACCAAAACGTCAGATTCTTGAGCCAATCGAATCCAGACAAACATTAACCACATAACAAAAAAATATATAACTAACGTTGCTTTCCTCAGATGTTCAGGGTCAACATTAGGTTGTCATCACAGTAATTCAGTGGATTGACAGATTAAAGTACATCATTACAGCTGAGGAGCAGAGATGAACCAAGACTGACTGGTTATTGGCAGATTTTTACACCAGATCATGCTGCTGCTTTTTTTTAAAGGGGCAGTATTTTTTTTCCCCAGGCACATGGTGCCATTTCATACCATAATCAAGTAACTATGTTACCTTCAGTTGTTATAAAAATGTTGCATATATCAAATGTAACATAAGAAATTTTACTTTGTAGTTTAACACCTTAAAATTGGGTCTCTGTCAAATTTAAAAACTACTCCTCTTTATGAAACTCGATCTTCAGAAAGTCACCAAAACATGCAACATGCCTCTTCTATTCTATTAACTAGCATTACACTGAGACGTTGTTCATATGAGCTCAGCAGATGCACAGTTCCACCAGGTATCTGCCGATTTTCGCTGGCTAGTCTGAACGAGCTTCCGATTCGTCAGTCGGAAGCTTGGAAACCACATCTCTAAAGAAGAGCTTCTTCTCGAAGGCGGCGCTAGGTCCATCAAATGTCCTGCACAGCACGGTTGCCAAGGGAGATTAAAGGATTTCTCAAACAACACAAGAAAGAATCATGGCAACATTTCAGATGTTTTATTTTATGAGGGAGTAACATAATATGATATAAAACTAAAAAAAGAAGAAGTAAATTTTAGATCAAAGTGCAGCTTTAGCAGGGGTGAGATTTCAGAAATGAAAGGGAATCTATTTTATAATTAAGGTTCTCCGCTTAATCTTTGAAGAATTCAGTATATTATGGAACTCGCAGGAAAATATCAGAGAATATAAGGTCAGATCTGGGTGAGTTTTTAAAGATAAACTGCTTTAGCAGATCTAATTGATAAAAATCTGCTGTGATCAGTCGAATCGGTGCAGCTCTGTTGAGCATATGCTACATTCTCCTGCAGCAGCTGTAACACACAAACCTTCAGAGATGGCGTTCATGTTCTCCAGGGCAGCCTGCGCAGACTTGAAGGGGAAGAAGGCGGCCAGGCTCACCATGCTGTTGAACTTCCCGAGACTCAACACGCTCTCCTCCACCTGTCAAACACACACTGTGTGAGTCCAGCGCATGTAGGAGCACCGCGCCACAGAAACACACACAAACACACACTCACCTGAGGTAGCAGCATGCCGATCTCCTCCACCTCTCTGACGGCGAACAGCGCGTAGCCCGAAGCATGCTCGAACAACACGTGCAGCAAAACCTGCAGAACGGAGATTTACGAGATTTAACGACTAAACTCAACAATGACAGCAGGACTGGGAAAACTTTCCGAACAGCGGAAGTGTTTACAAGTCCACACGTGGTTACCAATCTGATATTAAAAGACTTAGTTTGGGTATATTAAATTTAATTATTAAAGAATAACTTGAATAGAGCAATAATTATCGTATATAGTTTAAATGTTTAATAGACTGAATAGCATATCGATCTATGTAACAGGATAGTCCTCATGACGAACCCACGTGTTGGTCTAGGCCTTCTGGAAGATGCTACTTGCTAGTTTTTGCTAACAGCCCAACTAAAACTCAGAATATTAAGAGAGAGCACATACATGCTTTTGTCTAAAGTGGTGCCACTAACAAAGGTACACGTATATTTATCCCAAATGATTTACATACGTCTTGGTAATAAGGAAACAAGTTTAGCTGCTAATATTAAGCAAAGGTTGCTAACCGCGCCTCAACGCTACAGAAGGCCTACAACTATGCTGCAATAAACGCACAAATATAAGCAAACATTCCCGTGAAATATAAACAATTAAAAATATTTTATAATTGCTTTATCTGTTATCTTACTGCCAGCAGATTTATCACCCTAAACTTACCATTTTATTAGGGAATAAGCAGAACCACGCAATGCGTGTCTGCTCTGCTTGTTCACCTCAGAGAAAAGAGACGGCGTAGACGTTTCAGCACGTTGCAACGTGCACAAAACACCGCGAGATCTACACAACACCGCGAGATTCCTTTATTTTCTCCAAGATTCAACAGATAACAAAATAATCATTGATATCTTTTATTTATTTAATCATGGATATTTTCATTTTGGTGAAAAACAATATTGTTTCATAAATTTGAATAAACTCAAATTCACTTTCATGTTTTTTTATGCCTTACGGGCAGACGTGGTCCAGTACTGTATGAGGTTAAAGGCAGAACCTTATTTGGGGTCTCATTTCTGCATTATGTTTTGTTTTGTTGTTTGGTCTGATGTGATATTCTATATATAATTTTCTTTTTTTTTTTTTAGATAAGAAAAAATAATAATAGTTTTCAGGAACAAAGGCTTGAAAACATCAACCTGTGTATAAATAATTGATACAGTGCTCTCGGGTTTAAAAGAATGACGACTCTCAAAAATAAACTCTTCTGCTTCTCCAGCTGCTAATTTCTGTTGAGTTTCTGGATTTTTCTTTTACAGCTGGCAGAAGTGATGAATGATATGTTCGTAAAGTCTTATCACAACATATATAGTGGTATTTGTTATGATAATAAAAAAGTATATTTAAGGTCCTTTTTAGGCAGCTGTTGTCGCTGCAAACACAAATTCTCCTCCTAAAAAAATTATTCATTTTGAAATAGGCTTCTTCAGTTCATCAGTTACACAAAGAAGGAGGGATCTTATACTGCTCATAGTAACCGAATTTAACAATATCTTCAAATGTATCAATATTTACTGAAGCTCCCAATGAATTCAAAATGGAAAAATATTGTCAGTTCAGACGATACTGTAAATTTTAGGGATTTTCAAACATGATTGGGAATTTATAATTTTCACAAAAACTCAAAATTCTTTTCATGATTAAAAATCTTTCACAATATTGATAAACATTATAATAATTACTCCTCCCTAGTTGCTCTCAGTCCATTGGTTCTTGATTCAAAGTGAAAAATGACGGTGGTGATTTAAGCATCTTCTAGTCTCAGGAAAGTGCTCAATTTAAATGAACTTTACCAATACTGACTTAATTTGGTGAAATATCCAGTCAGAACTGTATCAGAAGCTTGTTGAATGAAATTAAAATCAAGCGGTTTGGGTTTTTCCAGTCAAATATTTAAATAAATCTGTGTATAAGGTTAGCCTTGTGTGGAAGAGAGAAAAATCACCATGAATTTGCACTGCCAGTTCTTGTTTTCTAAATTCATTAACATTACTTGTTGCGCAATCATTGCACCCTGGGCAGAGAAAAAACACAAATAAACACACAAAATTCAGATGCCGAGAGATGGAGGAATGTCACAATGATTTCTCCGTCCTGTTGTCGCTTGTCATAAAAAGTGCAAAAGAAGACGCGTGAAGCTGTACACTTGACTCCCCAAGCACAACAACAAAACTATTTTCAACTAGACGTTCCTCCTTCCTGCAGACCCCGAGTGCCATTTTGCCACCATAGAGGAAAACAGTCGAGTGTCATATTTCGGAAAACATCAATAAAGCTCTTCAGAGTCCTGAAACTCCCCAGCAACGGATATGCAGGGGTCTGTATGTGCGCAAGCACCCGTTGCAGGCGGGTTATAAATGTCACTCTGTGTCTGATAATAACTTGGAGAAGTTAATTTATGACTGGCCTTCTTGGACAGATTGTCCCCTGTTTTTCTATTTCTTTCAGCTATTTGACCCAAAAGAAACTGTAGGACACATTAGTATGTCGTTAAGACACATTCTGAGTTGGTTCATTGATGTAATGGATAAGCAATGATAAATTAATTTGAGAAATCTTGAATTTGCTTGTGTGTTTTAAGTGAAATAATGCACAGGGCAGAGGGATGTAAGCTAATCTTGAACCCTGCTGACATTATCTGTGTGCTGATTTGTCATTCTGACAAGCAGCCCGGTGAAGTTATTACTCTAATAAAACAAAAAGCCAGATTACCGAGTAACGTCTGTGTTTCCAGGAGCCAGGAGGAGAGTCCTTGAAGGAGCTCTTTGAGGAGCGGATGTGAGGGAGGACAGCAACAAAGCTTTTTGGGATCTGGAGAAGTCTCGATATAAAGGCCGACCGGGACAGGCTGAGGCTCAGACCCGTGGAGCCCTGCTCATCTGAACCAACACTTCCCCAAACAACTGACCGAGGCTGACACACAGCACGTGAGTAACTTATGGCTTCCTCCGCTTCCCTCTCTCTCTATGGGCTTCCTCCTCACGCTCCTTTCTTCTGACTCCTGGCTCTTTTGCTCTTTGACCCCTTCTCGTCCGCTCATGTTCAGTGCGGATATCTCTGTCGCTGTTGCAAGTATCCCTTACTCCTTCCAGCTCCTTGTCCATCTTATCTGCTGAGCCATTTGTTGTTCTGCCCCCCACAGAAAGCCTTCTCATCTCTGTCAGTTCTCCCTGCCTTTTATCTCCTTTATCTGTCGACCAACGTTTCCCTTACATAAGCAGGGGATCCTCTTGCATCCTTCTCTCTGCTTTTATCAGCTTTAGTTTTCCTTGTCGATTGTTGACCTGCTTTCACTGCCACATCATTCTCTCAAGCATTCACCAAGTTCTGCTTGCAGCCTGGCTGGCCCCCCAGGGCCGCCAGCCGCTCGCGCCGGCTCTTTTGTCGGTCCCTGTCGATGCACTGTGCACCACTGAGCGAATCGATGCGCAGCGTAAAGGTGTGTGCGTGTACATGTGTGCAGGCGAGCGGAGGATGAGCATGCGTGCAGCAGTGGCGGGTTGCGTGGTACTGGTGTGCCTGCTGGCTCTAGTGGTAGAGAGGACAGAGGGACACATCACCTTCTTCAGCCCCAAGGAGCTATTGCAGATGAAGGTACTCAGCTCGGGTTAAACTGGTTACAGAACGTTAATCAGTTAATCATCTGTTAGTATTTCTCAAGTTGAAAGTTTATATTTTGGAATTGTTTAATATTTCAGTGAAAGCTCAATTTCTGACAAAATCTTCTGGAAATGGGTAAGTTTAGGTGCGAAACAGAAATTTTTTTAGATGATTACTATAACACGATTTTTTCCCCCCACACACCACTTATTCCTTTCTGTTTATATGTTATCTGGCACCTTTTGTCAACCAATCTACACTTATTGAGTCTTTTTGTAAACCTAGAGAAAGAAATGACAGACACGACAAACAAATACAAAGTAGTTCATGAAGTAAAAGTGACAGGAAAAAACTTTCTTAGAAATTACTTTTGGTTTATTCCAAATGTAATGGACAGGGACATGAAATATGGTGGCAGAAAAAGGTTTAGAGGGTGAAAAGAGGCAAGAATAGTGGCGAGAAAGAAGGACAGAGAGATTACCAGAGAACACCCTAGAAGTCTGTTTCTATACCCGCAGAGAGAAAAAAGCAGAGAAACCATAACGACAGACAACATGTGTACAATAACAAATAGAACACCACTGAATAGTACAGTTAATACAAGATGTATTTAGAGTCAACTGCACTCTAACATAGAGAGTATCTGAATCTGTGTCAATGTGTGTGCAGCCATCACTTCTCAAATGGATTTAGTTCTGAACCAGTTGTACCTCCCAGACATTTTGGGAGGGCAGGTACTCAAGTGGAAAAAAAGAGCACCTTGTGAGGAACATGGAACCGCTAATTGCCTTAGTAATGCAAAATTAGTTTATATATATACTTCTGCATATAGTCAGTGTGTGAGAAATGGCAGATATTCTTAGAGAATGAAGATTAGTGAGATTAACTACAAACCCTGAGAACTGTTGAAAAACATATTTAAATTATTTTTTTTGTTTCTGTATACACTGCAGAAACCAAAACAACAAAATTCAGAAGGGCACTTTTTTTTTGTCCAGAGGAAAAAAAATGCAGGTGCTCTAGCACCTCTTAGTGTCTAGCTGAGCATGTCCATGCTCTGAACTTTGACTAGGCTATTCTAACACATGAAGATACTTTGTCAACCTGGAAGGTGAACCTCTGCCTCAGTCAGATATCTACTTCAACCTCTAATAGTTATTTCTTAAAAAACAAAACAAAGCAAAACAAAAAACAAAAAAAAAAACAACTGACTGCTTTGTGTTTTTGGCCCATCCATCCCTTTATCAATTCTAACAAGCATATCTGTTCACACTGAAAGAAAAGCATCCCCACAGGATGCTGCTGCCATCACCATGTCTCAGAGTGGAGTCAGCTGGTAGCTTTAAAACCCTGATCCACTCAAAAACGACACAATATAAAAAGTACATGACACCTGAAAAGCCGATTTAATCCAGGCCAAATTACAATCTCATCCCATACCTTAAGAACCAACTCATTTAAACCATGACTTGCATATTAGTTTATTTTCTTGTATTTGTTCATTTAAAATATATTAGAATCCATTTCCATTTACTTTGGTTCTGGATGAAATACAGTCCAGCAAACAGATGGGAAAAAAAAAAACAAAAACAAAAAAAAAACTGGTTGTCAAAGCGGGTTTCAACCCCCCCCCCCCCCCCAGTGGGTATAATTTGAGGTGCAGTCGATCTTTCAGTGGTGGATGGTTCCTTTTCATACCCGAGACAGTTGGGTGTCACACAATCATAACTGCAAAGGCACAAAATGAGACGGCACCCAAAATTTCTACCACCAATGGGTCACATCCTATTTAGAATTATTATTTTTTAACTGTTTGGTTAACTAAAGAAACAAAGTGAAGAATTTATTCATAAAACAAATTAAGATTTATCTCTTTTTATCCCAACACCACTTTTAACCCTCAATTTTTTAAATTCTTTATTTTTTTTCTATTTTTGGTGCACTTGTGCGTCAGCAGCAGAACGGTAAGAAAGACATGGAGACTCGCTCAGAGGACGGCCAGTTCCAACAGGAACACGACAGAAATCCTGTGAGCACGCGGCCCGCCTCGTCCTCAACGTCCGGGTGACAAACGTCAGTTATTTTCTAACTTTTTAAAAAATGTCTTATTTTTTTTGTTTTGTGCGTCGTTTCCAGGACAAGACGTTGGAGGTAGCTGTTCGTCTTTTACCCAGACAGGTGGATCACGTGGCTCCGGTGCTCGAAGAGATCATCCATGAAATAGTGGAGCAGAGTCAGAAAGGTAACTGGCGCCATCTTGTTTGTCCTTGATTAGAAAAGTGTTATGTGACCTCCTTTCTTTTAAATCTGTGTCTCAGCAGACAAATAGCGAGGCTACGGGCGCCGGAGGGAGAAAAGTCGTGTAAATTGTTCAGAAAAGCACTGAATGCTATAAATGTTTCGTTGTGTCTAAATGAATCAAACAATAAAGAGAAGTGATTGTATCATGCATTGGAGGTTCTGGAGTAATTCTTGAGAGACGTGTTGCAAAAATGTGCCAGAGGTTTCAAGGCACAAGAAGGTAACCTCATGGCAAAACTTGGGCCATTTAACGTATTAATAACACAATCATGGCGGTTCATTTGGCAGGAAATGGTGCGTAAACAGCTCGAAACAGTTCAGGCTGATCCACTTTATCTCGCTTTTTGTTTGTCTGGTTCTCAGTCCTTGTCGGACAGCTGCTTTTAGAGCTTTGAGGTCAGCTTCTCGCAGAACTCAAAGTCCTTCACGGCGAGCGCGGGGTCCCGAGCTAGAGGGGCAGGAAGCACCAGGGAGCAGTCGCTGTCAAAGTACTTCCCAGTCACCCCTTCCAGCTCCTCGGACACGGCGCAGTAGATCGGGCTGACAGCGCCCTCTTCTGGCGACTGTGGAGGGAGACAATGACGGCAGAGAGTTAGAGTCCATGTGCAGCAAACAAACAAACCCACTTCTGCAGGTAGATTTCTGACAAGCGACAGGTGTGAATATGAGGCCATATAGGAAGTTTGGTGAAATCTCCGCCAGATTGCAAATCGACAGACCAAAGAGCAGCTTGTTGAAGAGATAAACAGGATGGTCTCAGAATGAGCTTGTTTTGCTTTGGCTGTGTTCTCAGACAACAGTGATTTCTCAGCATCGTAAAAACTGCCGTAAAAAAAAAAAAAAAGTGGCTCTCCAAGCTTTTGAAACCCCTAAAAACACCTGAATTTTTTTCTTTTGGTAAGAAAGAAAAACTACGAAAGGAACATAACCTGGTGGCACAAGTGTGTGGGATTATTGCGCTAATACTTTGCTGGGATACATTCGGTTGCAGCTTTCAGTCTTCTTGAGTTTCCATCGAGAATCCGATGAATCCAAACTAAAGTTAAGCTGTTCTGGATAAATTTCCCTGAAATTTACTACCTGCAAGGCTTTAAGGGACATTACGCAACTTGAAAAGGCAGTTACAGGTAATTGAAGAAAATAAGGGGCAGCAGGGAACATTACAAAGATTAGTGTAAACCTGAAGCGAAGAACCTGCCTGAGACTAGTCCGTCTCATATGTCTGGGCAAAACAAACTAATAAAAAAAAATAAAAAAAATAAAAAACTTGTGAAAGGCTTGGAGGAAACAAAACTTAAACCATTTGCTACCTGCAAGTCACTGAAAGAATACCACACCCACAGTAAAATACGACGGTGCCAACTTCTCTTCAAACAGAAGTAGACTTTTTGTCAACCCGGATGACTGTGAATAGTTCCAACCATGAACCTTTAGAGTTGAGGGACAAAAAAAGGCAATTTCCTTTTGTAGCTTCACTCTAAGTACTAGAGTACATCCAGATCCACAAAAGAATTACTTTATTCAAGACCACTCCTTTTACTACATTTAATTTGCATTTTTAAACCCAAGACTAAACAATATCTTTCTTCTTTTTTTTTTTTAGCTTTAGCTAAAAAAAAACACAAACAAAAAGAAACAAAGTCTTTCCTCTCAGAGCAAAATCACAACAATATAGAGAAAGATTGTTGTGAATGTTGTAAATGTTATTGGGGGGAAAAAAAGAAGAGAAAAGAATCACAATTATAGATCTGCTGCCTAAAGATGTTAAATAAAACATTTCTTACATCTTTGTTATGAAATAATTGTGATAATAGCACTTATTCTTCAGAGATAAAATTGATATCTTCTTAGATTTGTATTGATCCATTTCTTCTAATCACAGAGTAGCTTTTTGCAAATTTTCTGATTTTTCTTTTCAGGATTTATAGTTGATGAGGAAATTAAACAATATGTCCCCTCTGCAGGGATGAGTGAATCAAAGCACTCTCAAAGTGAAAACATCTGAAGCTGAACTTACGTCACCAAGCAGGAAACGCCGAACTGATTCGCTAATTCACAACAGACTTGTTCAGAAAGGCAGCAACGAGCCAGTTGCAAACCACTGTGGTGCGACTGGAGCACTTTTGTAAACAAGAGTCAAAACTCTTCCTTTAAGATGAGAAGGCCACAACAGAAGAGGACAACTTCAAGTTATTTTGCCGCAAACTGATTTCTGTTTTCTGCTCCATTTGATCTAAACCTCACTAACCACCAACTAATCATTGCTACACTGGCATGCATAACTCATAAAACAGAAAGTAGAAGAACTAAGGATGCATCTACACTTCAAAATTAGATTTACAATATGGGTTAGAGAAAAAAATACAATGAGCAGAAATGCTAAGAGGGAGTAGATGATGTTGCAAGTCTTCTGTTAGTGCCTCATAATTTAGAAGGAAACCTTGAACACAGTAAAGAAATACAGAAACACTTGAAAGCTAAGATGTTTATTTCCAACCCAGCCTGCTTAGCACCCATGCTGTAGCTCGTATTATGAGGTTTCTTAAAAAATAAAAAAAAAAGATGACTAAACTTCATTCTTTACAGCTGTTTGTTACAAAATCCAGATTGCTTGCTTTGGTTGTTAGACACCACTGAAGCTACTGGGATTAAATATTTTTTGTACACTTTCTCCTTGAGTCATCCAGTTTGTGTCCATCTGGAAAACATTTAATGCCAGATGCAGGTTCTCGTCTGCCGCTAAACTATCCAAGCATCGGGGTTTACGCTGCGGGCTACCAGAAGGTAGTGTGAAGTTGTGAGGCGAGAGAAAAAGATGTGAAAGTTTTAAAGCTGAAAAATAAAATGGGTGAGATGTGTAAAACGGAGTAAAATGCAAGGAATAAAAATGTCTTTTCTTTTTCACAAAAAGCACATGCTCTTTGAAGTTTGTAGCTGTAATGTAAAAAATTTTTTTAAGAAACTGAAAGAACTACAAAACAAAGAGTAAATGAGATATTTCACCTATGAATTTTAAAGGGGAAAAAGTCTTAATTTTGCATCTAAATTATTAAAAAAAACAAAAAAAAAAACAAAGTGAAAGAAATCACATTTCTTTCTTCACTGTTTCTATCCTGACCCCTGGGTCAGAGATTCATATAAAGTCATTCACAACAGTAGGAGTTGTACAGGACGACACATGCTGTGTTCTTTGGAGGAGGATTATTCAGTGGGCCTCACAGACTTTTACGAATTTAAGAAAATCTGTTCTGCTGCTCTGCAGATAACCTCAGAGTAAATAGCCCATTTATTTACACTCTTCATGTTCTCCACTTTTCTTCTTGCCCGTTTCTACTTTTCTGCCGAGTTTCCTTTGTGCAAACATCATCCATCAATTGTGCAATTTTACAGCAGGTCAAAGTTCTGCTTTGCTCTCTCTGATTATTGACTGCTGCCCTTGAACTTGATTCGTTCCAGATATCCCATGCGCGACCTTCACTTTACGAGTTTTGAGGCAGACGGCGATCGTATCTTCACAACGATTTAAAAGTGTTTGTAAGAAACAAGATATGCTCAAATAAACGTGTGCACGCTTTTTAAGATGTGATCTGGATGCTAATACGACGGGACACATTTCAAAGACGGAACCCCGTGCTTTACATTTCATGTATGTATTGTGGATCGACTCCATCTTTGCACATGCACTAAACCAGACTTGTGTCTCAGATTACGAGACCCTGATGCAACAGGATCAGACTTGAACAATAAGTAGTGCTGTAATGTTTTTAAAACCTTTTGTGCGCGTTTCTGTGCCTGGAAGCAATAAACAACGCTCCTACCTTAAAAAAGAAAAAGCCGATGAGTTTGAAAGGGTAACGGAGCCAGAATGGATAGTGTCGCATCACCTCCGTCATGACAACCCCAGGGTGGACGGAGTTGGCTGTGACGCCTGTCGGGACACAAGAGAGAACATAAAAAAAAATGACTTGGACCACTGCACATTTTTAATAAGGTCACAGCTGACAAGAATACAGTACATTCATTTTTGGTTGCTAAAGACGAACCATTCTTCTTACGGGAATTAACAAATGTAGAGAATAATCCAAGTTTTCAAAACTGAAATAGCTTGCAAAAGTCTAAAATCCTTGTGAATTTCCTCTGATTCTCACAGGGTCAAAATTAAAGATGCAAGCTTAACAAATAGCCAAACCCATGTGAATGTTTATTTAAATGTCATTTATCAAGTTGCAGAGAAATGGCAGTTGTTGTTCGTCAAATATGTACTTCTGACTGAATATACCGTTTCGTGTGCCCTTCTTGAGAAATGGTTTGCACATGCATGAGACACTAGGAGATGAGCAAAAATATTAAGGAACTGAGTATTGGGATGATCCACTTCTAAATACTATAGAATCCATTGGACCTGGTGAGTGTGCAGTACACACCCCCTGGAATGACCCCAATATTCAACACTTTTGCTCTGACACACACAAAAACTACAAGCCAAAATCTTTTTTTTCCATCTTATCTTTGGTCTCCATTTGGTGCTACGCCATCATTCTTCTCTTCTTGCTCACTGAACCCCATCAACTATTGGTGTTCAGACTAAAGATGCGCCTAAATAACAAAATGTGATTTCTTCATTTGTTTCTGCTAAAGTGAGAACTATAAACAACTGAAAAGTTTTTCCATTCGGAGTTGCATGCCTTTGCTTTCTGGAGTGAGTTTCTTGATTTGTTGACGGATTTTGTTTAGTGGCAACTGCGCCCTACCAGATGCTGTTCGGAGACAGCTGCACTGCTTTCCCTCACTGCTGTTTAAGAAGGGCCGGGAAGTTCTCCATAGGATTCATCTCAGATGAGGAAGGGGGCCACGTTTGGGGTGGGGTTGGGGGGGGTCCAACCTCCTTAACCTCCTCGACCAATGTTTGAGCAAGCAGGAAAAGGAAATCTTTTAATTCAATTAATCTTTTGAATTAAAAGATTAATTCAAAATCTTTTTTGAATTAATCCCACTATGCGACTGTCAATTTTTAAAATGTAAAAACGAAACGCTGAGATTGTGATTTCAAGCTAAAGTATTAACCCAGAATTTTCTGTATTTCCAAGTAAATTAGTAGCAAGTAAGATGCACAGATCAGATACCAATATCTGCATCAGTCCCGATATTGAAAAAGGTTCCAGATTGGGTATTGGTGACAAAGTGCA